TGGCATTGTTTGGAGGAAAGAAGAGGGAAAACAGACAGGAGAGGTTTTTTGATTGGTTTTTGTTTGGTTTAAGGTATTTAGTACAAGCTTGCCACAGGAAGGAGGAACAAGGACTGATATGTAGAATCAACAGATAGCTACCCAAATGTCTGTCCTGGCATTTTGCCAGTTTGATATGACTCACACCAGCAATATTTTGATTAACAAGCTTTGGAAGGAGCTCAATATTTTATCCACTACAAGACCCATGACACATACTGTAAAAACACTGAAGTCTACTGTAGTTTGACAAGAAAGTGCCAAACTGGCTTCTGGGTTTTGTCAAGTATGTTTCTGCAGAAGCCTCTTCACAGGCCTACTCATGCTACAATAGGATATACTTCTAAAGGAGCAAAAAGAATAAAGTAGGTAAAAGTAACTGAAACCATTTCATAATCTTCTACACAAATCTCTGTCCTAATCCCTTACTCATTCTTTGGCTAAAAAGGTAATTAGAACAACCAGAGTAGAGAGGGCCTTCCTGTGAGCACAGACATCTCATTTTTTTCTGCAAATAAAACACTTCTGCAAAACTAATCACAAATCACTGCATCTGCCTTTACTACAACTGAAAATGTGACTTTATAAATAAAGGTAGCAAAGTTGATATACAGCAACCCAGCTATGAAAGACACAACATCAAGCAAGACATGGTGATGCAACACTTCCCTTGCGCTGTTCCAGCAAACCCCACATCAATATATTAAGTTGTTAAAGTGTTATGATCACATACCCACGTGGCACCAGAAGGTCAGTAGTTTTTCTTTATAAATACATTTTATCAGGTGATTAACAGCAGTGGTTCAAACAAAAGAGAGCTCTGCTGCCTGCAAAGAAGCACTTTCATCCCTGCCCAGTGCAAGTTTTACCACTAAAACACCAGCCTGCCAATGGCTGATCCAGCTTTCACTATGGTGATGGAAACTCTTCTTAGCCAATGACTACAGAAAGACAGCTTAAGTCACTCCAACCATGGCCTCCTAAGGTAAAGTAGCTGCTGACAGGTAAAGCATCTGCTCCTTTTGCAGTCTGCTCTGTTTACAGCTGATGTCCACTAAGTTCTTTCCATGCCTGAACCCTTCTGACCTTCTAATTTGCCTCCCTTTGTGCCCACTCTGAATGTTAGAATCAGAACAGCCACTTTTCAACCTGTCCACATGGCTAAAACATAACAGATCAGGAACATATACCACAATAAGGTGATCCACAATTATTTTCTGTGAAATTATTTTTTGTGAAATTATAATTTCACAAAATTATAATTATTTTCTGTGAAATTATAATTTCAGCTATTTAAAACACCTTGACTTCTCAGCATTCCTGACCTAAAACAAATGGATACACGTGTTATAAATACATTAGGAACTGGAAAAACAAAACCAAAGGGCGACTTGATTTTGTCCACAGTGGATGAGAATAAACAGTGGCATATTTAGGCAGTCTTGAAAACTGAATAAGCAAGCAACAAATAGAAGACAGCAAACACTTTTACACATCTGGCTATGTATAAAGCCTACCTCACACACAAGCATTTGGGCTTGGAAGCTCTTATTAGCTGTCCTCTGACATTTCTTTCAAAAAAATAAACATTAAAAAAAAAGAGGACACAGTCCTTCCTGAACTGCAGACAACAAAGATGTTATGCACAGCAAAATATTAAAATATTAGATGTTTAATGCTCAACACAGTCCAGTATTTTCCACTGCTGACATTCTGCAGCTGCATGCAGTCTGAAATTCAAGATTAATAAATCTGTAGATGAGGAAACAAGTCATTAGCATGTCCAGTCAACTTCCTCAAAAAGCCATGTATGATTCTTAGTGTCCCAGGAGCCCAGAGATAGCCTGCAGAGCTTCAGTGGCAGAAGGGATGTACACAAGGTTGTCCTGAGCATACACACCAAGAAATTCAAACTAATCACCTTCCTAGTTACACCAGATCTGCCTCGTTTGTCCACTTCAACCGATTCACAGTAAACTCAGCCCATTCATTTGCAAGTCTGTATTATAATTTTAGCCACAATGGCTCTGGGTGACTACACTAACACAGGGGTAAATAACACCACTGCCAAAGACAACAACAAACACATAATCAAACCAGAAAGATAATGAGTGAACAAGTGTCAAAGAACAATAAGTATTATTAATCTCATATCAGGTTGAAAGCCATAGCAAAAAAAGAAACTAAAACGATACTAAGCAGTAAGGCATAACAAACCAACCACTCCTCACTAAACATGTACACGTTTATCTTATTGTTATCTTACCAGCTGTAGCCAACTAATTTTTTCACAAAATGTGTAAGACCAAACTGTCTGATAACAGCAGAGATATAGTTGTGAGAAGACTTAAATTAGAGAACCACTGCAAAAATCCTCACTGCAGAGAAATTCAAAACAGCTTTGCAGCAGAAAATGCAGATCAACAGTATGGCTTTTCTCCATGCATTGTGTCTCCATGCATTACAGAATATGAAAAAATTAGTTAGCATGTAAACCCAGCAATATTATAAAAAACATTAGAATGTTAGCTCTAAAACATTTGTTATTTTACCACCTTAAAACATTTATCAGAAGTAAAGATAAGCTCCACTTCTTGTAGTATGCTAGTTAACTGTTCTGCTGCCATTAGAAAAGCAAAATTGAAGTTATCAACCACTCACAGATTTTTAGCTTTCATTACTCTCCTGATACAGTGGAAATCTAGCATATATTCCTTTAAGTATTTCTTGATCTTTAGAAATAATTGTTACCAATGGCAATAATACAGAGAGAGATATGTGAAATAGCTACTTAAATCTTGGTGGGGAAAAGCACCCAAAGATAACAATGATATGAAAATTATACAGAAATCCTACTTTAAGAAAGTATCACACGCAAAAACTTCAACAGTTCTGTTTAAAGTCTAATGCTGCTACCACAAATTAATTACAGGAATAAAAAAAAAAAGAAAGTCAAAACTATACCATTAGATATAGCTTGGTTAAAAGAAGTCTAAAAGTCTAACAAATAATATATATATATATATATATATATATATGCGCCAGCTTTTTTATCTCAGAAAAGATTACAGAGCCTTAAAGAGTTTCACTCCTAAAGTGAAACTACATGGTAAACTCTGCCAGTTGATAACATTCTAAATACAAACACAATAGAGCCAAGAACATCAAAGGAAATCTAATCTCTTTTCTTACATGTTGAAAAATCTAATCTATAGTAAGATCATGTAATTTTCTTATATATTTTCAATCAGATAGTAAGACAAAAAGGTGTGCTGCAAACGAAGCAACCAAAATCCACCAGAGTAGCCTGATTTAAAATAAGGAAAATAAAAAAGGTCATAGTTTTAAGTCAGAAGTAAGCTTTGATTTTCACTTACAATTTTAGTGTCATTGAAACTACTTAAATAACAGCTGAATTTCAGAACTTCTGCTTTGTCACTACAGCTCCTTATACAGCAGCACTTTAACATACCTTAATACTTGCAAAAGGCATAACTTTGTAAGAAGACAAAAGTCATATATACTTGAAATATACCTACCTTCCCAGTGTTCTAGCTGTCTTCTCACACCAGCTTTCTACTTGTGAAATTAAGTGTCATGAAAATTAGGTGTCACAAAAAACTTCAGCAGCAAAATGAAAAAACACAAACGCCAGCAGAAATTTTCTCTATCTAGGCTTTCCAGTCAATTTTCTGTGTGTACGCCTTTCATCCTTGCCCCTCCTCCTCCCACTATAAATCTATCCTACAGAAGAGGCAAGATGCCCCAGCACTTCCCAGATGTGGTATGCTGGCTCCAGTAAGATACAACCAGTCATGGTACAAAAAGCCAGAGAGAGCTCACACACTCACCCTCCTTAAGCTGTTTCTAGAATCTCTTGGCTGTATTGTGAAAAATTACCAGAGTAATCAGAACAACCTATGGTGCAACAAACAGTCAAAAAAAAAAAAAAAAAAAAAAAAAAAATCTGTGTTCCATCCTCATGCAGTGGTTTCTCCCTGCAGCAAGCTTGCACTACCAACCCAAGCAAGAATGTGCACAGCATGCTAAAACTGAAGTAGGCCTATGCTGCAAGACACATTTCTTGCTCCTAATGTTCCAGGTGAGGGAGTTTCAATTGCACATGGTATATATGCCTAGTTTTCTGTTGAGTTCAGTCATCTTCCTGCTCTGTTGACTTCAGCTTGATAATAAATGAAACAGATGATGCCTGAGATAAAAGCAGCACAGTAAGAGAATGTGCATTTGCCAACCATAGATAGAGACTTCAGAGCATTCTGGATAATAAATAACTATGTGTTCAAAGAAAGTAGTAAAAAATCAGGCATAATAATTCAAGGAAATATTGTTGAAACTAGAAAGAAAAATAGTGCATCTACCAATTCAGGTCTCTATCCATAGTCCCCTTGTCACATACCAAATTTCCTCAGCTACCTTGCCAACAAGTTCCATCTGTTTTCTTCTGGATTATTTCTGTTTGCCATCATTTTGTACACAGACTACTGAAAGCAAAGTTAAGTTATCTCAACACAATGGACAACACATCCCATTGACTGCTCCGGGGGAAAGAGATGGGTTGAACTTCATAACTTTCAGATGTCTGCATGTAAACAAAGTTTTTGAATAAAAAGACGGAACTGACTACAGTAGGGAAAAAAATTCTCTTAACATAAAATTCTGCTTTTGTTACATCAAAAACTACTTAGCCTCTACCCAGGAGATATACACAGGTGATTTAGAGACCATTTCTGTGGTTTAATCTCAGATAGACTCAATGCAAAAATTAATTACTACTCAGTAATTGAATTCATGTGGAGGAGTTTGAATATTTCTTGCCTCTGTGACAGGAATGATTATTAATGCACAGAACACCACAAAATGCAGTGTTTTCCGGTTTCCTCCAAAGCCAGTTTGTCATAATCAAAATACACCAATATTTTTAATCCTGCTTTTATCCTTACCTCAGCCTTTCCTCTTCTTTCTTACGGAGGCTGAAATCTCGCTGAACCACCTGGAGCACATGCTCTGCCTCTTCGTCAGTCAAGCCAGAAAGGTCCAGTTTTCTCCCCATTCTACACTGGGTCCTGGATATGAATAACTATAAGGAATACCTGAAATCAGAAAAGGAAAATAAAATAGAAAAATAAATTGAAAGCACTCATAGTTTTCACAAGTGCGCGGAGATCACAGGCACAAAAGAAAGCTGCTGCCATAAACATCAGAAAAGAAAACATTTGAATCTTTTTGCTGGAAAACACCTTTTACACTGAGTCCAACCACTAACCCAGCACTGCCCAGTCCAGCATTAAACCATGTCCCTAAGTGCCACACCTGCACATCTTTTAAATACCTTCAGGAATGGCAACTCAACCACTTCCCTGGGCAACCTTTCCATGTTTGACAAACCTTTCAGTGATGGAATCACATCTAAAATCCCAACTAAACTTCCCTCGTACAACTTGAAGGATTCATTTCAGAATTATTCGGCAGGTTCCACACACTGAAAGCAATCACCCCCCATTCAAATATAAATGAAAAAGATAAATTATTTGGGATAATATGAGATGCTGAGGACAGACCTCATGTAGCTCTCAAAAAGGAACATGCTTAACTCAGTCAGGTCAAATCAGGTTTATACATTTCTTAAGATTTTATAAAACTGCTTGCAGTGCAATCCCTGCCACTGTGTATGAACAGAGAACATATTCTGCTGTAACACTCAAAATCAGGAATTATTTTAAAGCATCATTTATAAAAGTAAGCACATAAATTTTAAATGGATTTCCCAGAGTGACTGAAAAGATTTAGATGTCACTATCTATATTTAGATGTCACCACTATAAAGTTGGAGGAGAAAAAAAAGTAGTTAATCTTATGTGTGAATTGAAGGTACTATAGAGTTTGAACTAGAGCTTGGTCCATTAAGTTTCACTAATGAAATCTGTTCTTATTTTTCTCATGACTTTTACTCATTTAATTGAATTCTTATGAATTCAGCTCTCAGTATTAACTTGTGTCACTTGATTTATGCAATTATTTGGGCAATCACAGAGGTGTCCATCTCCACGTTGTGTTACAGCTTCAGAAGCATAAGACAGTCTTTGCATCTTTGTTATGAGCCCCCAGCAATGTACATAATAACCATGAACACATTACAGTTCCTACCACAGTATACAAGAGGAAACTATTACTGACTCTTCATCCATGGTGAGTAGCAACTGGATGAGGCTATGTAAAGCATCTAAGCTGGTTCTGGCTCAAAAATACCATACCTCTAAGGAAAACTGCTAAGGCATACAATTAAGTACTCCAAGTACTACTGCAAGTAGAAGCATGGGGGGAAAAGTCAGTTTTATTTTCTCAACAATTGTTTTGCTACTCAGATAATGATGTGGGATGTGGTTGGTTGGTTTTGTTTGGGGTTTTTTTTTTTATGTTGGTTTGGTGGAGGTTTTTTAGTACAATATTTACCTTTCTACAATTATCTGATTACCATTCTTCAAAAAAGAAAAACATACACACACAAAAGGGGGGAACTGCATATTTTTTGGTTAGGCTGTTTTGGTTACACTATTCATGAAGTTTATTCTAAACTCCTGGCTCAGGAAAACAACACTTCACTAAAACCAAGTTGATGGTACACAAGCTTAGCTGAAATCAAGACAACAAGATGCCTCCAACAAGATATATGTTCCCCATACAGATGAAAAAAAAGGCCACAATGTTCTAGCTTGACTCTGAATCTACTAAGGAAGATGACAATGAGTATTTAATAAAGGCTTTAAAAAATTTGTTTCTAAAAAAAATTAATTTGCATAGAAGAAAAGTGCCAAAGAAACAAAGGGCTTTATGTAGTCTTCATTAATCTCACTTGCAAGACCAAGAATATATGTTTAAATTAAAGATTGGCTAAAACATAGTGAGGAACAACTGGCAAGATGGTTTTGTTTCAATGCCACACGCGCACAAATCTTCTCAAAATTTTCAATGAAATATTAAGATGTTCCTCTGTCCTCACGCCTACAGTTCTTGCACCAAAACCTCACTGAGCACTGGCAAGGAAAAGAAAAGGGTTTGCTGAGGTAACATTGTGTTGAAGCTCAAAGACAGAGCATGAAATGTCCTGGGACACATCCTTCCCTTCAGGCTTAGGGATATCTGCTCAGCTCTTCCCAAAGAAAGCAATTGAGTGCAAAGGTATCTCTGCCTTTCTGAAAACATGGTAGGGCTTCACTAAAGGAGAGCCACATCCATGGGAAGTAAGTAGGGCTTTTCCAAGTAACTTTCTTCATGCATATACACTTAAAGGGAAAATATAAGATGCACAGTCAAAGCAAATAAAACCTTTTTAAGCAATTCCTGGAGCCAGTAGAGACACCTGCATGCTAGGGCTACAGTCTTCTGAGACATGAGATGATGAAGGTAACTGGAATTTCCTCTTTGATCTCCTAGTATCTTAAGTATCAAGTCAACAACTGGAATTAACATTTTCATAATAAGTTCTCCCTTCAGGTCTTCATCAAAACCCTTTTGGAAATTGTTTAAAAACCAATAATGTTTTTCCAGAGATGCAATTGTCCCTTTGATTCAGCTGCCAGTGCTGATTGTGACCATGTATTAGAAAGGCGAAGTTTACCCCTAAGTTTGGGAATAAGTGGGCAGCCCCACCACCTCTAATTTTTTGGGCCTGCAAAGACTTCATTTCAAGTATATATGCTTTAAAATCAAAAGCAACTTTAACTTTAGACTTTCTTGTGGTTTAGTTCTCTATGGTATTCTCAGTTTGCATTCCAATACTACATTAACCTCTAAGGAATGCTGTGTGTTTTCCTAGGAAATAATTTTTCATCACATTACTAAATCACCTCTGATCTGGGAGTATCACAGCAGTTTATAAATATTTATGAACAATTCTCAAAAGTCCTTTCTGTGGTAGATCCAGATTATGCATTTTAGAAATACACAATGGCAAATCCTCTAGAGAAAATGTAACAAGTTACACTTAAAACTACCTTAAAACACACAAAATAGCTTCTAAGCCTAAAATAACTTCTGGCCTGAATTAAAATAACTTACATGAGGCTGCTCAGATGATTGCCTTCATGAGTACTTCTTTGGTAAATCTCAAACTGAATACAAAACCTAAGATCTCACAGACTTTACAAGGAATAATATCACTCCCTAGAAAACTTTTATTCAACAAATTAAAACACTGTAACAGAAAAGTCTAGGCTTACAAAACAGGATTGGGTTTTGAGTAATACTCTAATCTTCACATTTCTTACAGTCTATTTTAAAATCTAATTAAAACTTCCACATTGAAAACCTTTCTTGAATTTAACCTTAACAACAAAACCAAACCCCAGCAAAAAGAAAAACAAGCAAATGAAATGTTTTTCAAGAACTGCAAGCAATGCATGGTTTTAACACACACAAGGGCATCAACACAAGAAACAAGGGCAAGTAGTTCATTTCCTACTCACCCATATGACAGCTAAGCTGTTTAGACTTGGAGTCTCAGCAGATGATTAGCATTACTGGGAGGGTGAGTGAAAAAAAAAGTTTTTTGGGCTAAGTGACAACTAATATTTAAGACAGACTCTTGGCTTGACAAAGAACTACATTATAAAGTTAATTATGCAAGTGGTCACACTGAATATTGTACAACACAGATCTCTCAGTTTTATGCTGTAGCAAAGCAATCAGCACTAGTGAGACTGCATCTGGACCCCTGTGTCCAGTTTGGGCTTTCCCAGGACAAGAAAGATACTTATGGCCACAATGATGGTTAAGGGACTGGAGCACCCTTCACAGGCAGTGATGATGGGAGTATTAGGACAGCTCAGCCTGGAGAAGAGAAGGCTTGGGGAGTATATACAATGGGTATCTGAAAAGAGCTCTCCAAACAAGAATATCCTACAATTCGTTCAATTTCTGAGCACGTATTTAATCAAGATTTCACTGGTTGTCACAAGACAGTATAAGTTTTGCTCTAAAATGTTGTTGATGTGCATTGATGAAACGTAACACCTGAGGAACCAACACCACAAACTCCTTCAACCCAGTCATTTGCAACTGAAATATTTCATATATAATACCTTTCCCCCCATAGTCTCAGCTTTAGAGTCACCAAACTCTTAATCAGAACTGTTCTACTCTGTTTTGCTACTTTACCACTTAGAAAATTTCCAGGTAGAAGATCAAGAAGAAACCTACTAGCAATTATATCTTTGCTTCTGTCATCAACAAGCTCATCTTGCCTTCCTTTAGCAGTCTGTCAGGACCCAAATAATACTGCTCAATCTTTCTTGCCATTCTTTCCAGAATTCTTTTAGTACTATAAGAAATTCCTTGTATAATCTTTCTGGTGAACCTCTTCCCCTTTTAAATCATACAATACAGTCACCTTTATAAGACAGAGGAAGACGAGCAGCTTGTCCTCAACAGCGCTCCTTCACCACCCTCGTATTTTAAAAAGTTTTGTTTACTGAATTGTCCAAAAGAAATTGCTACTTTGATCATGTGAAGTCATTATGATAATTTTTAAAAGTAAATATCACAAAACTGTGACATTATGTCATACTCTTCATTTGAAAAATAAAAGGTAATAGCGCTTTGAGTTACATCAACACACTTGAATAAAATAGACTTCAGCCACAAGCCAACATTTTAAAAACATCACTGTCCAAAGTAAGTTCTACTACAGCTAGCACATCATTAAGTCCGAAATGAGGCATAATTAACTCTGGCCACAGATTTGTTAATCTTTTTTAAACTCCTAGAATGTCTAGAAGCTTGAGTAAAAAACACTGAGTATTCTTCTCTTTACACTCAAAATTAACAAATGTCTCAAAATAAGAAAAGGGAAAATATACTCATCAGAAATAAAAGGCCACCTCTTTGATTGAAAAATTAAATACAACCCACCTGACTTCAACATGGGATTGACTCGTATCTGGTGCATCACATTTTAAATGAGATGAAAGATAAAGATCTCAAAGACAATGTTATTCTTTGTACCCACACTGATTTTAGCTGAGTTTTACTGCACATATTTTCTGGTCTACAACCAAAGCAAAAAAAAATTATCTTGCTTTCAGCCTTGGACTAA